ATGGGGGCTTGCGGAGACGTTGAGGGCCTCAGAGGCCACCTCATGAGTTCAAGCAAGCATAGTATGAGAGGAAGGTAGTGATTTTAAGTCGCATCGCCCTTTATTATTACTGTATATAGGAGATTTGGATTAGATGGGGGTCATGAGTTTATGCTGACATCTTTTTTGGCCATGCCAGTGCGTTAACTCCCATCAGTGACTCAGCCCATAGAAGTCACAACTCCCTAAGTAGTTGCCACATCTGGCACCTGTAAGAAGTCACATTGCAAATGCAGAAACCCCCTGAGTTCTCTCAACTCATTTGACCCCCTTGCCTGCATCCGCGATTTCCTTGCAAAAAATGAGATAGCATGGCTCTGACTTGTCTGGCCACAGGTCACCTACAACTCACTGCTAAGCTCCTGTGAAAGAAGCAGCCGCTGGAAAACAGCCTTCGGCTTCTTCCGGAGCCTTCGCCAGGTGCATGCATGAGTGGATGTTGCACGTGCGGGAGCTGTGCTTGGATGCTGGTCGCTGTGCAGGTGCTGATCCGTCCGACCTCCGCTTCCTTCAGCTGCTGGAGCCGTTGGCCCGCTGCCACTGAGGCCTCGTGCAAAACGGCTCAGAATGGCTCAAATTTCTCCAGGTTACGAAGACTTTCACAAATCGCCAGGCAATTTGGGCCATGCGATGCTGCGGGTTGCAACCCAGCCAGCATCTTTGCTGAAGGGTTTGGATGGCTGCCTGCGACTTGTACATTGGAAGCGTGGGGTGCAGGTGATGCTGCTGGGTTGAACTCGTAAATGTCCGTGGTTGGAGAAAGATGTGCAGATCAATGCCAGTTGTAGGATCATTGGAGGATGGATTGCAGCTGAGGATCATTCAGGGTGCCGTCATGAAGGCGTTCCAGCTTGCGGAGCTCTGGCAGTGTGCTGTCAATGTGATGCAGGAGTAGCTTGCCTGTGTGCAGTGCCTGTTTCTTCGCCTGAAAGTTCAGATTTATTGTGAGATGCTAGCACCAGCTTAAATCAACTTTGGGCTGCAGCTCGGAGAAGATCATGAGGCAAACGTGCTGCCACCGTGCAAACGTAGGAGACCAGAAGAAGCATTGTCAGTATCGACCAAGTCACCACCAGCATCGCCATCACCGCAGCTCTGCTGACCTCTAGGGATCTTGGGATATGATTGATCTACACACGGTTGGTTCACCGAGCCAAACGCACAACGTGCAGATTGGGTTTCCACTGTAGCTCGGACGTAGCATCATGGTGTTTCTTCGGCTTCATCCCTTAGAGTCTGACCTCAGGGCAGGGCTAGACATGCCAAAGTGCAGCACTTTCCCAAATCCCGAATACACCGTACACAAATGTGCACAATTCTGCTTAAGGCGCTCGAGCGCGCCCGATGCTGGCCGCTGGCCCTTCACCTTGCTGGCAGCCCAGCTGCCCCAGCTCCCGACGAAGTCCGTGGCCTGCCTCTGAACATCAGCCTCCGTCTACACTTCAGCAGTTTGAAATGACCGGCGTCATCTATACTCTGGGGTATCATGACCGTGTTCATGAACAGTCATCACAAGCAATTTTGATTATCCCGATCTGCCGTTTCTTAATGTCGCTTTGCTACCCATGGTTACGATCATCCTCTGCTTGAGCAGATGCCGTGAGAAGATCCAATTCGCAATTGTAACTCAGGCCTTGGCGCTGAGGCTGCTGCCGCAGCAGCGTCTGGGTCACTTAGCTGGAGATACTCCGAGATGAGTAGGTCACTGTGCAGATCTACAGGGACAGGGATTGTAGGAGCATTGCGGGGAGGGTAAACCGGTAAACTGGCAAATCATCAAACATCAATGTTGGACAGGGTGGCACACGCAGGAATCTCATGTAAAATGTAAAGCAGGTTCTATACATTCCCAGTGAGAACTACCAGTGGCTTGCACGTTTGAATCTAAGAAGCATTTGAGCGTCATTGCGATCTCACGTTAGGACCCTTGCAGTAGTTCACACACATGCATATACTTTTCGCCCATGTGCACACCAGCACATCTCATGTATATGTAATTTAAAGAGGTGTATGCCGAATATGCGCGAGCATTTACACGTGCAGCAAGGGAAGCAAGATCATGTGAACGCAACACGCCAACAAGTTGGAGGTCGCATGGGCAGCGGTCAATGTTTTGAAGTTAGATTTTTCAGTTTGATCCAATCATGCAGCATGACAGCCTTTTATCGAAAAGCTGGAGGTGAACTGCTTACTGTATACTTGTGATGGCTCTGAGTTCTTCTACTGTTGAATGTTGACGTGTTTTCACAACAGGGAGGCTAAGCAAAGGTACCCGGAGTGGTTGGGGCGTGGGTGCCAATGCTCCCGCAGAAGCGCCCATGATACTGCTGTATGAAGAGGAGCTTGATTGGGGTGAGGAGAACGAACCGTCTACCGTAGTTGTTGGTTTATGCATTGGTCGGCCGGGTGAATTTTCAATCGGTTGGCTGCGCTAAGTCTTCTTGTTTATTCTAGGTGTACCTGTATTGCTGCTGGATTTGCCGTCAATCAGCGCTGCTGTTCTTACCATGTGGCCAATTCATGTTACCATTCGTGCTCGCAGGTGGCTCAATGCCCTATCCTGGCTGCGCAGAGCAAACGTGCTGCGGCTCCAGCTCAGCGTTGTTGCCTTCGGTGCTTCTCAGCCTAAGTCCGATGGAAAAGACCACGACATTGCCACCAAATGAGCCACAGTCAATACTCGTTTGTAAGGAAATATGTCCGTAGCGGACATGGGAAGCAAAAAGGCTGTAAAGCGACGGGAACGTAAAAAAGCGACACCCCAGAGTTTTCAGGCGAAAGCCCTGTACTGTAAAGCGATGGGAACATTAAGAAGCGACNNGACACCCCGAAATTCACACGATCGCCGCTTAAGTGCAAAACCTTGTAAAGCGATAGGAATATCGAAAAGCGACACCTTCAATTCGGCGTCCATTGCCTAGAGTCAGGAGTTTTGACCGTCACTCAAATGGGATGTGATAAAAAAGTTGTGATTCAATCTGCAAGCCGCCCCCGCTTGGTACAGTGACCTCGTCACATGACCTACAGATTGTTGAGCTCAGTTTTCTTCTTGTAGCTAGCCATTTTTGGACACAGCAAGATACAAGTGTTGCTTGAGAATTATCAGCTACCGACCTTCACGTTGAATGTGCTTTCACATGGCAGTGCCGTGATATGCCGTGTGTCTGTGACAGGTGCCATTCTCACAGCTTGTGAGAAGGCTGGAATGTGGTCGGCGGCTTTGGAGTTACTGCGTGGCCGCTTGGTACTCTTCAGGATGTGGCAGCATCTAGGAGTTTCTGAGAGCCTATCGAGACCTGTCGAGGAATGGCTCGTTTGCGTGTCCAAGTGAACATCATCAGCTGCAATGCTGCCCTCAGTGCTTGTGAGACTCTTGGAAAGATTGGAGAGTTGAAAAGGAGTCCTACCAGCTAGCCGCTATACTGTAGACGTACGTTAACTCCTGAAGTTTCTGAAGGAAAGCCGGACAGTGGCAGGCAGCGGTGGCGCTCCTTGATGGCTTGTGCTGCAGGAACGTTGATGAGTTTGTTTGGTGCTTGCAATACGCAGACATTCGCAACCTTCCTCTTTAGCTTGAAGCCCAGTAGCCCGTCAAGGGACGTTGCCATGCAGGAGGATTGTACCAGACGAGCACCTCTGCAGCATCACATATCCATGTGTCTGATGTCTCACTGGAATGAACGCCTGGAAGGCAGTGCCATTGGGCACATGATGGCTGAAGGTGAAGTGTTCCTTGCGTGTGAGATTGGGACTGTCTGTGCTTTCCTTCAGGCTCTCGCAGAATGCCGGGATCAGCGCCTGCGAAAAGGCCCTGAAAGCTACAAACGGGCGTCATGCACTGGCGAGCATACGAAATTACAAGTTTGAAGAAATCATAGAAAACCGCAGTGCCGCTTGCATCAAGGCTTGGCAGTGGCAAGCTGCAGTATCTCTTCTCTCAAGGTCAGATGAGGCACTCCTGCACGAGGAACATGCTCTCTTGCATCGCATTGTGCATTGCAAGCAAACATGCCCCAAAATGAAAGGTCGGCTGCAATGCTGGCATCGCTGCTTGCGAGAAGGCATGCCGATGTCCCCGGCAGCCCTTCACAGCCTTGTAAGTACTCTTTTGGATGGCCCTTGAGGGGCCCGGATTCTTGCCCAGCTGCGAGTCGCTCGAGGGCCATCCAAAAGTGCGTGTTTTTCGCAGGTTTCAGCCTGGAACCTCGCAGGGTTCCTTCTGCTCCACGGCTTTGACTTGCCGGCAACGACACCAACTCAAAGGTTGAAATGCAACTGCCATGTTTGTGCTCCCTAGGTCTGATGCTCTCTCGCGGCGTCTCCTCCCGACAGACTTACGGCTGGCATGGCAAACTACCACAAGCTAAAAATAGCGACGGCAGAACTAGGCCCAACTAAACAGTTCTTGCTCCTTTGCAGCTGTGAGGCACAGTGACACGTAGTGACACAGGTTTCAGGAAGTTGCAGCCCCCTTTTCCAACCCAGGAGGTGAGCTACAGTTCAGTGCTGACGGCATGCGGGAGGCGTCAGCTGTGGACACACTCATTGATTCTCCTGAGCCTCGGCAGTTAGGCGCGCCATCGCCATGAAAGACTCGCACTCGACAGCCCTTCATGCAGAGTACTGTTTGCTCCAGCCATCTTCAGACCCCTGCACTCAAACCTGCTGCACATGGAGCAGGTTCTTTGTCCAAACCCACTGCTTCTCAGTTACCTGCTTGCTCCATGGCACCCATCTCTCAACCTTCTTACTGGAAGCTATCGTCGGCAGCCACTCATCTCAGACCTTAACAGGGATGGCCATGCAGGGTCATGTGGGGAGTAGATGGTTTTGAGGAACTCCATGCAGACAATTCTGCTCACGCCCAACGAATTCACCTACAGCGCAGTGCCTTCGATGCATGCATTTCCTGTTTGCCAAGGAAGGTGTCAGGTTTCCTGAACTGCATTCGCGTCACTGAGGCTGTGAGCGCATGTGCCGCAACCTTTTCATGGCAGCAGGCAGGTGCCTAACTCTTCCTCCTCATGGCAAACTATGCGTGCACTCGCTTGCCTTGCTCCAGGCTGAATGGCTGCTCGAAGATATGAAGCTGTACAAGGCGACCGAGCTCTTGTTGCATGCCTGCGATGTCAGAAACACCGAGTATGCAGACCTTCGATCCTCAAGTTTTTTTAAATGTTACCGAGCCGATCCCTCCCAAGTGTTGAACTACGTTTGAGTGCAGGTGCTGCCAGGAGGTGACCTGCTGGTAGCCGTTGCCACCGCCTGCAGCATTGCCTTGCAGCCTACGAAGGCTTGTGAGTGCGAGCATAATCTATCGTATTCTACCGAGCAAATCCTCGTGCCCTTGGAGGCGTTGAAGTTGTTGACGGACACGGAGCTGTGGCTTACGGACGCTAAGTGCCAATCTAAAACTCTAGATGTATACAGGCCGCTGTAACTTTTTGAAACGTTCCCAGTACCAGGAGGAGTCGCGCGTAAGAATGGCTGAAGCTTTGCGTGCTGCACCTATGAGCCCCTGCTGAGATCTGCTCTGTTGCTGAGGACTTCTACGTTGCTTATCGCAGTGGATCCTCGGGATTTGGCAAGCTGCGTTGAGGCATCGGGTGGCTATGTGTGGCTGTCTGGGCACTGGTGCAGGTCAAGGTGGGAGGAGAGGCTGCTAACACTTAGGTCAGGGGCACAATGGGCCACAAACCATGAGCATCGTGTAGTACGTGATCTCATGCGTGGCAGCAGTCCCGAAGAGTTGTTAACCTCAAGGGTAGCTCTCAACTTGTACAGATGCTGGATGCCTAGCGCAGATCTCCACCGCTGGGGCGGGCAACAGTTGGAAGCTGCTTTGCAATGGATGGTGCGATGGACGGCTCGCACCCGCACGAGCACGAGGCCACGATCAGTGTATGGATGGCTGATGAGAAGCAAGCCTCCAAACTGAACGACGTTCCAGAGGAGCTTCCTCAAGCCATCAAGGAAGTGGATGGTATATTGCCAGCTGGCCGCGTTACACTGAACCTTGGTCCATTCCGTGCAGGTGTCACTCCAAGGGATGTTGCCTAGTTTTTGAGGCTGCAGTGGCTAGCCAGAATAATGCCAAAACACTTGCACGCCCCCATCTCCAGTACCAATCAGGAATGTGACCAACGCTTCGTTCACCGTGAAGCAGCAGAGCTGGGGGAAAGTGGTTGGGCGCAAAAACATAGTCCAGTGCGTGTCCCTGTCCATGTGCCGCGGACGCAGAAAGTGGACAATTCAATTTGTGCTTGAGTGATGCATATTGTAGATCATTGTAGAAGCATCTCGTCGTTGTAAACCACCTGTGCGAGGGAGTCTGGTCAGACTCTGGCCATCATGGGCCCATCTGGTGCGGGCAAGACTACTTTGATGGACCTCCTCACCTTGGAGGGATCAAGTGGCAGCCGCACTGGTTATATTGACCTGAACGGCAAACCTATGACACCACAGGTGTTCAAGCAATACTGTGCCCATGTGCCCCAACATGATCAGGGATGGCCTTTCCTGACTTGCTTCGAGACTGTACAGTTTGCTGCCAATTTCTTCTTGACTTCGGCAAGTGAGAGGCGCGAGAAAGCCGAAGAAATTCTGGAGACCATGGGGCTTCTGTCATGCCGCAACACGCGGGTGGGCAATGAGTATATCAAGGGGCTATCTGGAGGCCAGCGGCGGCGCCTTAGTTTGGCCGTGGCCTTCATGAAGAGCCCTTTGGTCGTTTTCCTCGACGAAGTCACATCTGGACTGGACGCAGCATCAGCGCATAACCAAGTTCCTCCAGGAACTGGCCCGCAGTGAGGACGTCATCATTGCCTGCACAATCCACCAGCCTTCGGCTAGAATTTTTAAGGGTTTTGACAAGCTGCTTCTTCTCTCCAACGGCCGTGTGGCCTACTCTGGCCGTGTGGTCGATGCAGTAGAACACTTCCGGGCCCTTGGCTTTGAGATTCCAGAACACGAGAACCCAGCAGATTTTTTCCTGGATACCATCAATGCCGACTTCACGTCGAAGGAATCTGTGCAAAAGGTACTAGGGGCCTGGGAGTTGCAACCTTTTCGCGTCGGAAGCGGATCGTTCGACCTTGATGCTGACATTAAGAAGCACATCGGCCAGCACCTTTTTGTGGAGGACCGGAGCTTTCGTGCGTGAAGGGATGGGTGTGGATATACCTGGTCTGCACAAGGGCGAGATCAGGCATCATGACCATCTTTCTCGTCATCGTTTTACTACAATGTTGACTTGCTGGCAGGGCTTCTCCAATTTGGCTTGCTTGCCTACGATAGCTCGCCTAGCATATCTCACGCATGTGTATGCATGTGCAAATGCCCGCCCCAAAGCACGAAATCGAAGAAAAGCCCGCTAAGCCTATCGCCCCCTGAACTCAGAAATTGGGTTCAACTTCAAATTTGTCTTCACAGATCTTATAAACTTTCATATACTTGCATAGTACTCCTAGAAAGCAACAAGAGATCCAAGCCTATGATAATAGACAGGGCAGTTCGCAGGTTTGAGTGCTTTTCCGTCGCATGGTGCTGCTAGCAATCCGGGATCCCACTGTGTATGTGAGCCGCATGGTGGTGTTCTTCGTATCCTGCATCTTCTTTTCCATCGTGTACCTCAAGTCCCGAGAGCGCACCCAGGCCCAGGTTCTGCAGCGCATGTGGCTTCTTCTTTGGCGCCCAGCTTGAGCGTTTGGAGTGCGAGGGGCTTTTCTTGGAGATGTAGACGTTTTCATTGTATTTTTTTTTCAGGTTTTTGGGGTTCTTTGGTCCTCACGGAGGTCCTCTGTCCCCAGTCCTTTGGCCTCCCGCAAGACTATTTTGCGGCTCTTGAAAGATCGTGAATATTGTAATCTGCAGCATCTGGAGCTATTGAAAGGCTACGAGTACGAAACAACTCAGCTTCAGCAGCTCTCTAATCATGAAGAGCGCAAATCACAGCATTTGCGGTTCTCGAAAGGCTGCGGGTATTCCAAAAAAATGCAGCATTTGCTGCCATACGAATATTGCAAGTTACCGCACGTGGAGTTCTTGAAAGCCTATGAAACACGGAAAGTACAGCATTTGAGGCTTTTCAAACACTGTAAGGGAAAGACCAGGCAATCTTTGAAAAGTTGCAAACACCTGCCAGTATTTGGAAATCTTGAGTGTGCCCAGAAAATGTGCTTTAACACGCGAGCGCAATGCTTAAGAATCTCATTAAAGGTGTGCAACAAGGTACGTAGGCATCCCATACCTCAAATGCTGTGTTTAACAGCACTCGCAGCCTCCAAGCAACTCTGGGGACGCTGTGCGACGATTCAATGGCATCGCTAAAGTTTAATGTGTTCAAATGCTCATTTTGGAATAGTTGCTTGGCACCGGCACCAGAACCAACAAATGCCTCAAACAAAAACTACACAATAATTCCGGGCCCTTTTTTATGCATCTCTCAGACTCCCAGGCACATCGGTGTGCCAGCTTGCATGTCCCTGTCGACATGCCTTGGGCAGAACTTGGAGTTTCTCGCGGTGAAGCGAGAGGTGAAGGCAGGCATGTACCGCTTGAGCTTCTCAGGATCAACAATTTTCCAATGGCATTAGTTGACGAGTCATCCATAGTAAACATGTACTTGCTAAAGTTTGGTGGGTGTCGATCCCAGGTTCCTACCTCATTGCACAGCACTTGATACAGATTCCTTTGTTTTGCTCAGCGCGGTCGCTTTAACCTTCAGTGGGTATGGTATGTGCGGCTGGAACTGGCATGCCTATGGCATTATGGTGAAGTTCTTCTGGTGCAGCTTGGTACTGGAAACGCTGGATTCGCAAAGATAAATAGCGGTAGGTAATGGTTAGTAGATACAATCTACGGTCATCTCCGCGCTGCTGGCTGATGGGTTTTATCTCGTGAATGGAATGATGCCGCGCCAGTACGGGCATGGGAATACATGCGCTGCAGTGCAAGGAGGGGCAGGGAACGTGCAGTGCAGAGGGGCAGAGCAAAGGAGGGAAGGCTGGAGGAACACCGCGTTTAAGGCACCCAGGCCTCAAGGCCTCATCAGGTTTCAGAAGTACCTTTGCCACTGTGCCGAGATGCTGTTCAGCTACATGCCTAAGGCATTCCCTGACGCTCTTCATTTTCGATTGCGCTGCGCAGCTGTTTGCCGTGACCTTCCAGCAACCACTACTCGGACTTTTTCAGGCCTGCTTGAGACCAGTTGTGGAGGGCAGGTGCCCCGCAAACTCTCGCACCACCACGGCTTCCATCACCCCAGCAGACGCACTCTGCAATCTGTAGCTGCTCTAGATGAAGCACCAATTTCATGTCCTCATGTTTCTCTACATAGCGGTCCCTGCAAGGTCATCTGCCTTTGGTTTGCCAGCTTCCTTTTTGCCGGCGTTCTGGTGCCTCGCCGATATTTGTCGGTCATTTCCCTCATAAAAGGAGCCAGAAAACGATTTCGCAACAAAGCATGGTCTCGTCACCGGAGCCCACCTGCACCTAAGTGATTTTATTCGGGAGTTGTAGGGTGATGTACGGTGCCAAGGTTTGCAAAGGTTTGCACATGAGAGCTCATATGTTCTGAAGCCGGAGCTAGTGTTTTCTTTGTGACTCTCATAGTGTCAGATTGCACGTGCTTCCTTGGAGCATGAGACCTCAGATTTCGGTCACGACACAACTTGAATATAGACCGCTTCTGGAACAAGCGATTCGTTCAAGATCTTGCCTGCGCCAGGTTCCCGAGGAAGATGTCGTTTGGCCGCTGCGCGCATTTGCCATTGTTTCGCCAATGAAATGGTCAATCAAGGCACATCATCTTGTACCGAGGAGCCTCAGCGCATGCGACGGCTTTCTTGGTTTCTGAAAAAATTTTGGCAGGATGCGATATGGACTTGTCCTCCAGACTATACCTGGCTAAGAAGTTTGAGGTTGCAGGTTGCTGTGAGAAATCAGTGAGTGCCCGTGCAGCAGGCGATCGTGAATGCTGAGATGTATGGGACAACCTTCGACGGTGCAGTGTTGGACAACAGTACTCGAGGATTCAGCCGCCCAGGTGTCAGCGAGTTGGAATGCTGGGGTGTGACTGGGGAACAGGTTCCCTGGCTGCAGTTATGTAATGTGGCACCCTGCTGCTAACTGAGGCCTTCGCGGATTTACTTTAAGGGGATGGTCTGGATCCTGCTAAGACCCCGTAACCGACACAGATGGTAGAGGGACACCTATTGACGCTAGCGCGTGCTGTGCGCCGGTGAACAAAAAGTCAGATCAAGATTCATTGCCCGGCCTGACTAATTCTTCGGCATGGGGCAAGAGACCAATGAAGCACCAAAGGCCCACGGAGGCGTGAAACCCCCACGGCTCAATACGCAGCCCAAACACAAAACGTGATAGTCGTGTTTTGTCAAGCCTCCTCCAACTTCCGGCTGTCGCCCATTTGCTGTGTCAAGTTTTCCAGAAGGGGAGGCTACAAGGAAGGCCAAGGCAGTGGGGGTGATAAGAACATCGAATCCCTCCTAACACCCAGGCCAAACCGCTGGGGTCCCAAGCCTTCCACGGAGTTGCACCAGACCTGCGCGCTTAATGGGGTGGGTAGAGTTCTTCCCCCCTGAAACTCTTTAGCCGCCGCCGAAACACTTTAAATTGTCTCCACATTAACACGGATGCAATGTCCAGGCTTGCCAGCTCCCTTGCATGCCTCACCCAAATCGAAGAAACCTGCCACATCGGGGTTGGGCGGGAGGGCAGTGCAGCTTGGTCAGATATACTGAGGTACAACAGGCTCACACAGTGTTTCGGGTAAATGTTGCATTGCGGTCGGGAATGATGCCTGTCCCACCGGTCTTTCCGTCTGCACCAGCCGCAACGACAGGACCGATGAGGGGAAAGCAGATAGGAAACACATGATTTCCTAAGCTTCTCAATTGATGACTGCGCCAACGCGCCAACCATCCCTTTTCCAGATGTACAGCCAGACCATTGGGAGCGCATGGCAAGCCTAAAAAACTTCTCAATTGAGTAGCTTTAGCACCTTGGAGGAACTCAAAAGTGGAGCATTGAAGGATGTCAAGTGCCAAGCTTTGGAACACCCAACCTGCCCAAGTCGCATTTGTACACCGCTGCGGGTGCTGTTCGGGCCGGCTAATGTTATTGAGACAAGACACACTGACGTTGGGGGCTTTCGAAACGCATTCTTTTTGTGAGCGTAAAAGAATCCCTGCAGGACAGCTGACTAACAACAATCTAGACTTGCATTGCAGGCACATGTCTGCTTCTGACAGGTTTTGACATCAATATCCCTGTCAATTGCCAAGAATGTCACGCCGCAGCGAGAGCTGGGCCATGATTGCAGCATACTGGTCGCAATTGCTGCTCGGCAAGGCTTTTGTGTGTGTGTGTGTGTGTGTTTTTGTTTTTTTTTTGCTCCTAGTCAGCAGCACATGGATGTGAAAGATCCTTTGCTGGCACATGCTGGCACCAGCCGAGTAAGGCAGCGTTGTTCCGATTTGCTTATTCCTCGATGGCCGCACTGCGATGCCGTACCGGCAAGGCAGTGAAGAAACCCAAAGAAATGTCAAGCCCGAAGCTGACGCCACAACGCTAGCCTGATCGCTAAATTTTCCGAGCTGTTCTGGCTGGAGCCAGTTCATAACTGCTCGCCCGCCAATTCGGTCGCTCTGCAACGTAAAAGGCTCAGGTCTTGTGAGGTTGGCCGGGCATCCAAGATGCTCACGGCCTTCCACTCAGCGAAGCACCTCTGTACGCTTTGCTCTGGCATAGAGTCCATCAGAGAAGAATGCCAAGTCTGCATTGAGTGCTTGAGCAGCATGCGCCAATCGCGCAGACCTTTGATGCAGATGCGCGCGCTGTGCAGGCCCTGCAGGAGCGTCCCGGACCACTTCTGAGAGCTTGCGAGAGCCTGCGGGATGAGTGAAAGGAGCAGAGCAGCCAGCCCCACGTGCTTGACGGACGGAACATTCATCATAATCGACTCCTTGCGCCAATCATCTGGAATTTGCTGCTGTGAGATTTGCCTTGGCCCTTGCCTGCATTTCCACCATCGCGCAAAAGCGGAAAGCGGTTTTGCAGATGCCCGGCCTGCGTGCTCGATTCGCGTGTGCAAACTCGAAATGGTGTCGAGCAAGAGTTGAGCTTGGGCCTGCAACGTTCATCAGAGAGAAATCCAATTCTGAGGAAAGACTCTTTCAACGAGCTGGAAATACAAGGCCAGGGTCTCCTACGCCATTGGGCAGCCTGTCACGACTTCGATGATCATGCAAGACTGCGTTCCGTCTTCTGTTATCTGTTATCCTGTGATCAGGCTTCGGTCTGGGTGGAGCTGCTGTCGTTGCCCCCCTCTCAGAATTAAGAAGCAGTTGCGAGATCATGATTGGGGAGGCGAGTGCGATCTTGAAACACTCAGACGTGCGACAGCCATGTACAGCTGCAGCAAAGTTTGGCCTTTGAATCTTAAAGACTTCTTTTGCAGCAACATGTTTGGTGCAGCTCGATTGTCTGCCAACTGGTGTCTACGATTACAAGCGCAACTCAGAAGCCTGACACGTGAATTGGCACGCTGTTGCCCAGATTGACGTGCTGACGGACAACACGAACCGGATACGCAGCAAACTCAGAAAACTATGTTTTTGGTTTCACACGCTGTCGGAACAGCTTGCAGGGTCAGCTTCAACACATGTTGCGTCTTGCAAGGATACTTATTGTTTGGATTGGCTGGTTTCATTCCTTTGCCTGCCCGAGCAGGCAGATAGTGCGGTTCAGGCAATAACCTGCTCCAAGGCAATCAGATCAAAGACTGCTTCAAAGAGGCGAATGGTCAGGCTGTTGCCATGCCTTGCAGAAGTTCTGGAGGGAGCTATTACAGGGGGCTGTGCATGCTTTGCTCAGCATCTGCGACCTTGCAAGACCGGTAGTTGCTGAGCAAAGGGTGCGAAATTGCAGTTTGGCTACTACATGCTACTATTATTGTTACTATCAATGTTACGTGCAATATGATTACTACTACGATTATTATCATCATTACATGTCATATTATTATCATGTTTATTACTATTATTACTACTACTACTACTACTACTAGTGTTATTATTGTTATTATCACTCATAATTGGTTTCAGCTCTTGTGCCGCAGCCCCAAGAGCCGAGCGAGAGAAGCGGTGCCAAATGAGCCCACCAAGGTAAAACTCTCTTTGTGTCAGCATGAATCATAGCCATGGCTGTTTAGGGTTATAGGGTTTAGGGTTAGAGGGCTACAGGGTTTAGGATTTAGGTGCTGTTATACAGGGGAGTAGGAGTATACTACAGGGGTTGTCAAGGGGGATACTCGGAGTTTAAACTCCTCAAAGCCGAACTGTCTACATGAACCGTTTTTCGTTGCTACAAGTGTAAGGGAGGAGCCTTTGGCACATTCAAGTCTTCCAGACACCCCCTCCCCCCAGCTGTATTTCCTGTCGGGCATGGTACCATGGATGCTGACCAGGGCAAAGCCCAGGCACCTCTCAGCAAAATGCCTTCCGCTGCCACGGTGGCATGGCCAAGAGATATGGGGCCTGATGGGTAACTCTTGGGCAGCTACAGCATGTCGAGCTTCGAGCTGGCGCTAGAGCTTATCTGCTCCCATGCAGCTAGGCAAGTCCGCCGTTGCGTTGCTTCGGCAGCTGCTGCCGTGAACGAGTGGCTTGGTTCCTGGTATGGATGGTGAGCAGGGGCTCGGAACATGCTTGCTGGCAAAGGGCAATGCCAGCTCTCTCTCTCTCTCTCTTAACTCGTGAGAGTGGTAAGTCTCGGCAGAAGACAAGAATCATAGACTGCATTTGCACATTTTGACACTGACACACCAAAGTCTCGCCGCGAGCTTGGCCTGGCACTGATGTGCAGGATTCCGGCAGCAAACCTGCAGCTCAGAAACGTGCCTCAGGAATGCAAATACATGGAGTAAATCAACTGACGCGGCTGATGTAGGTCTACCAGTTGTCTGATTCGAATCGCTGTGGTGTTGTAAATTGTGGTCTCATGCTGTAAGGCCCCGGTGCCGCGTGACGCGGGTTCGACCTACTTTGGTTCGAGCATGCCTGCAGACAGAGGCCAAGCCCACTGGCATGTGCACTTTGAAAATGAGGTTGCATACCCGGCAATCACGGTTGTTGTTCTTTAACATGGGAAGCACAATTAAAGAGCCCCGTATAACCATGACTAAACAAGCCTCCTGAGGTCTCTGAACATTTCGGTGCTTGTCCACCAGATAAACATGTGGACATCCATATGTTACACCTTGCTCGCTGTTTCTCATGCCCTGTTACAGGGGCCGTCTTGCCTGGACACGAGGGCCAGTACTACCAGCGAGTACTTCCCACAGCGCAGGCTCCGCCGCGGGTCAAATACTGCCTCTTACAAAAGGCATGGCGCGGACAAGAATAACAGAATCTACGTCTACGTCCAAAATTGCGTGCCTGAGCTTTTTTTGATCGTATCCTTCCTGTTTCAGGTGCCCTTTGCTTCTGCGGAAGGCCGCCGGCTTTTCTGCGAAGCCCTTCTGGCACCTCTACTTGATATCTTGAAGGGCCCGCCTCCGTTCGCTGGAGGGGTGTTACAGTGTTATGACTGTTCTGGATCTGTTTGGCTCCATGCCCTTGGCTCCGGCTTGATTCAAGGCAGGGACCATGGAGAATTACTTCTTTCTGGCGGAGCAGTTCCGGACGCAAGATGAGCCGACGTTTTGTGTCCTGGGTTGGTTGAAGCATTGTGGTTTTAAGTTTGCACTTCAGCAGTAGTTTTTGCCGGCATGTGAGACATTTCGTGCAGTCAGGAGAGACTGAGGTGGGTTAACTACCCTGGCCATGGTCCTCAACTCTCTCCACATCGACCCGATGCGAACCTGGAAGGGTGCCTGGCGGTGGTTCAACGAACAAAACCTGGTGTCTCGTCATACTCCTGCAATGGGCGGCAGCGTATCCCCAATTTGATGAATTGCGAGCTCTCTTGTGAAGACGTTCCCACCCGTGAGTAAACACTAACGCAGAAGTAGCTTCAACAGCTAATCTGAAGCATAACGAACAAGGCTTTGGCCTCGAGCCCCACCAAAGCATTTGCAAGTGGGCCATACAAGGGCACCTGGCTAGAACTGAGGCGTGCTGCACTGGACCAGAACCTGGGCTTGGTGATTGGGCAGGTCCCCCTTGTGTGCATGCGCTCAACGCTGGTCGGCGCATCCAGCTCAGGACCGGGTCCGTGAAGAAGGACTTTCTTTTGAAACTCAGCTCAAGTTGGGCTTGGGCACAAGCTAGTGCTGCAGAGATAAACATGGCTACGACTCAATATGGTCAGTCCGGAACAAGGGGAGACGGGCATCCCGATCCAGACCCCGATCCAGAGGTCCGGAACAAGTCCCCGAATTCCGTTCCAGACTGTGCTAACAAATTGTTCCAGACCCTCCGGATCAAATGTGCGATCCAGACCCTCCGGATCAGTCAGACAGCATAGGGCCGTCAACACGGGGCATGTGGTTTTGATCAAGAACATGTTTTGAAGCATTTGTGCAGGGATGTGCAGGGTGCGGCCTGTACTTTAATCAGTCCAGTGCAGTGGCTTGCAAGGACATGTTTCGATCTCTCGCTGCCTGCAATGGCGCGGAGGTGATACTGTAGCTGTACTGCTTTCGTTGTGAGATTTGTGGAGACATGGAGAAGTGCACGCATGCGGTGGAAAGAACAATGCTGTCTCTGAAGCTGGACAGGTTGATGCTTTTCGTGCTCCGACTGAGGCGTCGGAGGCTGGGATTGCCCGTCGGAGTTGGCGCGTGCTTGTGTAATTCATGTCCACAGACAAACATCAGGATGCCAGGCTTTTGGAACCAACTGATGCTTGGGATGTTTGTTCATCCTTGAGTAGTTTCTTGCTTGTTTCCTCGAGTGTATTCTTGCCAGTATTGCAGGCTGCGGCCTTTACGGCAGCATTCCGAGAGGCTGCTCGCAGCGTTAGTCGCAGCTCGGAACGCGAATGCAGCCTGCCTTAACTCAAGCTGCGTTCTCCATGCGATGCAGCTGCGGATGCTGATTGTGAGATGACCTGGCCCTGTAGCACCTCCGTCTTAGGAGGCACCTGTTTTCACTGCCAAGTTCAGGGTTACCTGCAGCTCACACTTGGCACTTAGCACTGGCTGGCCTGTGTGCTAGTTGCAGTGCTGCAGGACATAGTCAAACGTGTGTGACTGCTCCAGCATCCATCGAAGAGGCCTTGTGGTTTGCTACTCGCGGGAGTTCCTGGGCCAGAGTGGCGCGGGCCACTTCTCACCTGTGGGCGGTCAGCCACCCAGTGCTGCTGCATCGCACAGTCCGGATGCTAGTGATAGTTGCCTGCCGCATCCTGCTGCCGGTGTCTGAGGATACCATGAGGAGAGTGACTCCGTTCTTGTGATGGACGTTGCCCGATTCAAGCACCCTGGCTGCCGTGCTTTGCCGTGCTTTTCCAGAAGAGACGTGCCATTTAGCTATCTTTTCTTCAAAAGCCGTGGCACTCTGCCTGGGCTAGGACCGCGTGAAAGCAGCAGCAACTACGATTCTTGAGCTACGGGGCTCAGGTATCCTCCCCACTGGGTGCCGCTTGAGGACTTAGCGCAGAGCATGCGGCAGGCCAGAGCTAAGGGGAAGGATATTTCAGAGCCGGAAGAAGCAAGCTGATTGGTGCCTTGAGCGACCCCAGATCGACACCGACACAAGCAAGCCGCGTGGCTTCCTTCAACTACGACTTCCCCAGACTCTTGGTAGCAGCCGCTGGTGAGGATTGGAATAGGAATACGCGGTGGCTGGACAAGTTCTTGCAAAAAAGCGCCATGCATTCCAGGCGGGTTCGCGCCAGAGGCGGTGCTGCGCCACCCCTCCGTGTGCCCTTTGCGGCTTGGACCAGACCGGCCAACTGCTGCCCTCGGTCCTTGCATGCTTTGTGGCGATGCATCCATGAACAAAAACTATCTTGAAACGTGGCCACAATCCAAGGTGCCAGTGGCTGCCGGTCGCCTCCTTTCCGAGGTCATGCAGGGACTAGATGCATGACATTCTCCTCGTCTCTAGTCGCGTGCATCGCGCGAACCACCGAATCCTCTCCCAAGCTCAGGGTTTGACGTTTTTTTGATCAGCGGGCGTGGGGGGGTTTGGGCTGTAGGATTTGGGGTTGCCTTGGGGTGGTTAATATTTTGGGGTTATTAATGGCCTGCAGATCATGGAGCCCAGATTTGGAAAAGGGCCTGCGGATGGGGGTGGGGGGGCGGGACGGTAACATTCCTTGCGCACACAGAGCCAGCGGCAGGGTCAGCATCTACAGTAGGGACCGGTAATTTCTATTTATTATTTGATACTGTGCGAGAACTCCAGCTGGCAGATGACTTTCAGTCCGGAGTCCATCAAATGAAACAGGCCCCTGTCTTAGAGAGGCATCCGGGGATCGTTTTATGCCAGGTCAGTGTATACAAGTAATACAAGGTCACGCCAGTGTTGGCCTGCTGCACTGCGAAACAATGCGAAAAATACCGTGCACAAGACATTCAAAATACTGACCAGCGAGGAACGACATGAATGATTCGTATTTTCGTGCACTTCTGACAGTGCAAGCGAAGTCCAAAACCGTCGTGCGGCATCCAAACACGCCTCAACTGGCAGACGCCTACCAGGTTGGCAGTCGTGGGACGAAACGCAAATTCTACACAAGACACGCGATCAAGAAGTCCACATCAGATGCGCTTTTCGACCCTGGCCGCTCAAGCTGGCATATTGGACCACCTGGGAGCCAAAAAATAGCGGTCTAGAAATTTGTAATAGATGTCAGTGAAGTGGCAAAAGCTGTGACGGCAAAAGGACTGCGAAAGGGTTGTGAAAGGACGACCATCGCGACTGATTTTGGTACTTTCTCGCGATTACGACAAGTATTTCAGCTAGCACTACAGCATTCCTACAGACACTTGTAGAAGTACCGCAACTACTCTTGTCTGGTAGTGCTGCTGCTGTCCTTAATTGTGGCATCACGCTGATGCTGCTGCGGCTGCTACCACTACTGCTACTACTACTACTACTCCTGCTGCTGCTACGAATACCACTACCACCACCACGACGACGACTACTACTACTACTACTGCTACTACTACAAGTACTACTCATACCACTACTACTACTGCTGCTGCTGCTGCAACTACCAACCTCCACTAACTACTACTAACTGCTACTAACTACTACTAACTACTACTAACTACTACTAACTACTTCTAACTACTACTGTAACTACTAACAACAACTACTACTACCACCACCACCCCTACCACTACCCATCGTGTTGTTATTTGACGGTAGGTTGTCGTCAAGATTGGGGACGTCATGTCTTCACTGCATACGCATGGAAACCTGGCATTTACAGTGGCTTTGAATGTTTATCAGGTCTACGGTCGCTTCGTAACCCATTGCGGCCTGGGCGCCGTAACTTAAGTTTTTTTCTTAGATTTGGTTGTGCTTCATGCGATTTTTGTTTGTAGGAAAAGTCTTAACAACAACATCAGGGCAGATCAAGCTTTGAAGCTTGCTGTTCCCTGCACACCCACCAGAATACCCATAATAACAAATAACAAGCACAACAGACTTATAATCATAAGCTAACAAAAACCAAGGACAACAACAACAACAACACCAGCAACAACAACATAGGTTATTAGTATGGCACATCAAACTCAGAATTTTTTCTGCTTCCTGCACATTTCTACCCCCATACCATAATAGCCATAATAACAAGCACAACAGAGTTAGAATGATAAACTAGCAGAACCAATGACAACAACAACATGAGGAGTGATGATTGGTTATGGGATTGATTATGGGTATGGCACATCAAGCTCCGCAGTTTAATGCTCCCTGGACATTCCTGTCCCCACAACATAAGAACCATCATAACAAGACCAATAGACATGAACGAAAATCAGTCTAAAACGCAAAACCTCCAAAATCAACATTCACCGGGAACCCTGCAGCTTCAAACCCCATGCCGGCCACGTCCCTGGATGCCAGAACTTTCCCATGGTACGGCGCTCTCTGTGCCTCAATACCCCAGCCACAACAGATTCCTGGACATCCCGGTGACATGTCCCGCACGACTGATATGGTTTATGGGCTTTGGCAGGGGTTCGTACGGAGCATAAGGTTCCTAGGATAAATAAAGCTTTTGACTGGCTTCTGACGTACATGTTTTGGTATGGGGCTTGTAGCGGGATTTTACTAGGGATTCGCTCAGTCCAGTGCGCGCGTATCTGACGAGCTGGCCTCGCCTTCTGCGCTTTCTGCTGCGCACGCAGCTTGGCTTTCAGCTCACGGACCAAGCTGCCAGCATAGCGTACGCATATCTCGGCTCTTCGGCCACAACCGACAACGATGCGGCATGGCGAAACCTACCAGACCTCAAGAGCCGAAAACGTGCAGTTTATGGCCCATGGCTCGGAAGCCTTTTGGTTTCAAGAAGCCACACCCTTCGTGTGGTTTTGGAGGACCGACTGCCACGATAATGTACCGTCAAAAACAACAGGGCGCGTGCTACTACTGCTACTACTATTACTACTGCTGCTGCTGCTACTACTACTTATCGTGTTGTTATTTGACGGTAGGTTATTCTGCAAATTGGGGACGT